TCATCATCATGACACCATCAGCCTCATCCTCACCAGCATCCTCATCTCCATCATCAGCGTCATCATCATCATCACCATCATCATCACCATCATCATCATCAGCATCATCATCATCGTCATCGTCATCGTCATTATCATCACCATCATCATCACCATTAGCATTATCATCATCATTGTCATCATCATCATCATCACCATCATTATGGTCATCATCATCATCCTCCTCGTCTTCGCCACCGTCGTCGTCGTCGTCATCCTCGTCGTCTTCATCCTGGTCGCCGTCGTCGTGATCATTACCACCACCACCATCAGCACCACCATCACCATCACCATCATCATCATCATCATCATCATCATCATCATCACCTTCATGATTATTATCATCACACTCATCATCATCATACTCATCATCAGCATCAGCATCAGCATCATAATTATCATCATACTCATCCTCATCCTCATCCCCATCATGATCGTCATCATCATCACCCTCATCAGCATCATCATCGTCAGCATCATCATCATCATCATCATCCCTATCGTCATCATCATCATCATCATCATCATCATCATCATCATCTCATCATCATCACTATCATCATCATCAGCATCATCATCATCACCATCACCATCACAATCACCATCATCATCACCATCATCATCAGTACCAGCGCTAGTACCAGCATCAGCATCATCATTCGCATCATCATCATCATCATCATCATCATCATCATCATCATCATCATCATCATCATCATCTTCGTTTTCATCTTCATCTTTATCTTCATCATCATCACCATCATCATCACCATCAACCATCATCATCATCATCATCACCATCACCGGAGCCATCCCCAACCGCACCAGGACAGCGTAAGCTCGCTCTTCCACCGTGCCCTTTCCAGGTGGGGATGGGTGCGGCGAGGCCTTGAGGAGACGGCACCCATCCCCACCTGGGAGGGCATGTCGGCCGGAGGGCCCGAGGAACCCCTGGTGGTGGTGGGGCTGGTTCGGCTTGCCCGGGTGACAGGCTCCATTTCGATCTGGTTCGGTACCGATCCCAGCCGGCCCGAGCCGAAGCGATCCCGACACGCCGACGATCTGGTGCGGCTGGGCGTCTGCACGGTGCTGCTGCGCACCCTGGCGCGGCCGATTAGATTCGGTCTCGACCCCGTGCCCATGCAGCCCGCTCCAACGCAGACTGAGCTTCGATGTTTCCCGACTCCGATGCCGATGGAGCCTGCCAGGGGTGCCCCATCGGCCCCTGCTCAGAGTCTCGCCCCAGGTTCGTTGCTGGTGGTCCCAGGCCCGTGGGCGCGCCTGGGGAGCGTCTGTCCCAGGGCGCCGAGAACGCCGAAAGCGGCGAAGAAAGCCGGAAACGGCGACGAAAACCCGACGCCGAGGGCTCCCCCGGCGCCGACAACGGCGAGAAGCCCCCGGCCTTGGTTTTTGTCCGAGAGGCTCGGCGCCTGGGGAGATCTCGGCCCCTTTCCCCCCCTTGGAGCAGCCTCTCGTTCGGGGCCCGTTCCTTTCTGGAGAGAGAACCTGCAATGGATGCGACTGTTGTGGAGGACGATCAACGGAGAGGAAGCATGTTGCCAAATAGTCTGCAGATGTCTAAAACATGTGTTAAACATGCAAAAAACATGTTTAGAACATTCTTCCGACATTTTAAACCCATTTTAAGTTCAATGACAGGACTGTTTGGGCGTCCATTGTCGTGGCATCCACCATGCTACTGTCGAAGCCTTGTGCTCCTGCGTGTCCCGACGCAGCTCCTCCCCAGTGTGTCCACTGGATTTGAGTGCCGCATCTGCTCGAACCAGCTCAAGATGCTTGATCACAGCCAGCCGACTCACGATCCCGTTCCTGAGGACCCCCAGCGCCCGAAGCCGATCGCCAACGGCCCTCTCGGATGTGGCGGCGGCGCCCTCGCTGGGGGGGGGGGGAGGAGCCCCGAGCCCCGAGCCCCGAGCCTCCAGCCTCGAGCCTGCCTCGGGCCTCGAGCCTGGCCGCTGGCCGGCCGCCCAGGGGGCCACCTGCGAGCCCTGCCCCTGCCCCCCCAACGGCTTCTGAGAGTGGGAGGGCGGGGCTCGCTTCGCTCGGGAGCTCTCTCCCGAGCGAAGGGAAGCCCCACCCTCCCCCTCTCAGAAGTCGTTGGGGGGGTATGGGGTATAGAACGAAGTGAAGCCCACCCTCCCCCTCAGAAGTCGTGGGGGGTATGGGGTAGAGCGAGGTGAAGCCCACCCTCCCCCTCAGAAGTCGTGGGGGGTATGGGGTAGAGCGAAGTGACCCCCCCCCTCCCCCTCAGAGATCGTTGGGGGGTATGGGGTAGAGAAAGGAGGGAAGCCCACCCTCCCCCTCAGGAGTCGCGGGGGTCCGGGGGCAGGGCTCCCAGGTGGGCCCCCTGCGCGCGCAAGAGTGGTATGAGGCAGGGTTTGCAGGAGGCCCCCCCCTCTCCTCGGTTGTGCGTTCTCGCTGCTAGCCATCTTGGTCGCCCTTTTTTTTCGCCCTGCTTTTGGGAAGGCCGCCTCCGAGCAAAACTGTGCCGGTGCTTTCCTGTGAGGCCCCCTACAGTGCCGTTTTTAATACATGCTCCGCGTGCGGATCATGCATTAAGAATGCAGGGTTTAGTATTAAAAACAACGGTGGGTTCACGCATAAAATTTATTCATAAATTCATCATGTATCAAAAATCATTGTTTTAGAATTCCTATGTAGTAAAAACTGATCTGTGCGCGCTCAACTGGCCCGTCGCCGGCGTGGCCCTCCGGTGCGCGGCCTGCGGGTGGGGGGGGTAGCCAGGGCCAGGCACGGAGAGGAAGCAGGCGTCGGCACCGCAGGCGGCGGTATCGGCACGCCGCGCGCCAGAGGTCACTCCTCCTGCGCCCCCTCCTCCTCCTCCTCCTCCTCCTCCTCCTCCACCTGCTCCTTCTCCTCCTCCTCCTCCTCCTCCTCCTCCTCCTCTCCCTCCTCCTCCTCCTCTCCCTCCTCCTCCTCCTCCTCCTCCCTCCTCCTCCCCTCCTCCTCCTCTCTCCTCCTCCTCCTCCTCTCCTCCTCCTCCTCCTCCTCCTCCTCCTCCTCCTCCTCCTCCTCCTCCTCCTCCTCCTCCTCTCCTCCTCCTCCTCCCCCTCCTCCCCCCTCCTCCCCCTCCTCCTCCTCCTCCTCCTCCTCCTCCTCCTCCTCCTCCTCCTCCTCCTCCTCCTCCTCCTCCTCCTCCTCCTCCTCCTCCTCCTCCCTCCTCCTGGAGCTCGGAGGAGGAAGAGGTGCCCCTGCCCCTGCCCCTGCCCCTGCCTTATTTTCCCCTGTGGTGGGCCGTCTCCACAGAGGCCCTCGCGGCGCCGCCGCCGGATGCGCCTCGAAGTTCTGATCAGAACGCACCCCCAGAGAGGGGCGGGGGATGATTCGGGGAGCTCGGAGGAGGGAAGAGGTGCCCCTGCCCCTACCCTTGCCTCGTTTTCCCCTGTTGTGGGCCTCCACTGAGGCCCTCGTCGCCGCCGCTGGGTTCGCCTCGAAGTTCTGGTCGGAACGCACCCCGGGAGAGGTCCGGGGAGTAGCGGTATCCGCATTGTTTGGTTTTCCCCGGGAGCGGTGGGTATCATGGCCGGGGCCATGAGATCTCCTGGATTTCATACCCCCCTCTTCTTTGAGCTCGCCCTCTGCCCCCTCGACCCACCCAGGCCGCGCACTAGCTTTGGGCCATGACTCATGAAACCTCCCTCTCGGACGCCCCCTCTTTGGACGCCCCCTCTTGGACGCCTGGCCCAGGGCTACCTCTTGCGCGAGGCCGAGTCAGCCGAGAGGCCCGTCATGCTGGTGGGTTGGGGTCGAGATCGGTTGTGGGTGTTTTCCGCGCTCTGGGTAGAGACCGGGCCGGCCAGATCAGGACGAGGATCGCGCGATAGACCCGTCTTGTGTCGTATATAGGCGGGGGAGGAGGGGGGGAGGCAGGAGGTGGAGGAGGAGGTCGAGGAGGAGGAGGAGGAGGAGAAGGAGGAGGAGGTCCAAGAAGAGGGGGAGAAGGAGGAGGAAGAGGAGGAGGAGGAGGAGGAGGAGGAGGGGGCGCAGGAGGAGCAGGAGGAGGAAGACGAGCAGGAGGAGGAGGAGGAGGAGGAGGAGGAGGAGGAGGAGGAGGAGGTGGAGGAGGAGGAGGGGGGGAGTAGGACCAGTGTAAACCCAAGGCGCACCAACGATGTCGCAATAAACCCATCCTTCAAGTTCCCTCTTCGCAGGTCCCAGAAAGAGTGCATGCTCATTGCGGGAAGTGGCCAATTAGAAGACAACCGTCCGAGTATCTTCAATCGTGCGAAGGCAATGTTTCTGGGGTTTTGACGCCGCGGATCAGCGTGATTGTTGCGTCCTGGCGAAAGCCTCGTCTTGAGAGGGAGCTGCCCTCCATCGTTGACGCTGTTGCAAACGTTTAAGACTTGTGTGCGCGGCGATAGACGAGTTCGACATTTTGAAAAATAACCACCCTCCATATGAGAAATTATTGCTGCCAACTTTTCAAACGAGTGTGCGTGGAGGAGAGTGCAAGGATAAGAAGAAGAAGAAGAAGAAGGACGCGGAGGGTGACGGGTGACTTGGATCGCGTGAGCATCACGGAGGGGGGATTAGAGGGAGGAGGGAGATGAGATGGGGGAGGAGGAGGAGGAGGAGGAGGAGGAGGAGGAGGAGGAGGAGGAGGAGGAGGAGGATCAGAGGGAGGAGGAGAAGGAGAAGCAGGAGGAGGTCCACGCTGTGGACCAGTTCGGGGCAGGAACATGATGATGATGATGATGAGGAGGAGGAGGAGGAGGAGAAGGAGGAGGAGGAGGAGGAAAGGAGAAGAAGCAGGAGCAGGAGCAGGGGCCAGAGCATGAGGATGGAGGAGGCTCAGGACCAGGTCATGACCCAGCCCCGATCGGAAGTCGGGATGCTTCTGAGGCCGAGTCGGGCCCCTCTGGCGTGGACCAGGACGAACTCACCGACAGCACTCCCTTCCTGCCGCCCTGTCCTTGCACTCTCCGTGCGTTCACCTCTTCCCTGCACTCTCCTCCTCCTTCTCCTCCTCCCTCTCCTCCTCCTCCTCCTCCTCCTCCTCCTCCTCATCATCATCATCATCAGCAGCATCATCATCCGTTTGCTGCTCCTGCTCCTGGACCTGTTTCTCCTCTTCCTCCTCGTCTACAATCTTCCTCCTCCTCCTCCTCCTTCTCCTCCTCTCCTCCTCCTCCTCCCCCCCCCCTCCTCCTCCTCCTCCTCCTCCTCCTCCTCCTCCTCCTCCTCCTCCTCCTCCTCCTCCTCGGCGAGGCTGACCCCACCTGTCTCTGTCTCGTCAAGCCGATCTACGTCGCCACATCCGCCGATGTCTGCTGGTGGCCTCACTCCTGCTGTCTCCTCGCCGTCGACGCCCCCTACCGAGATCGCTACCGACCCTGAGGACGTTGTGTCTCGTGAGCAGGAATATCCTTCCCAGACCCAGAGACGGAGCCCTTCGATCTCGATTTCCACCTTGCCGAGCTCGTCGTCATCGCAGCTCTCTTCTGGCCGTGACCGCCCTGCTCCTCTGTGCGTTTCGTGTCCTTCGCCTTGTCATCTCTCTTGCGCGTCATCCACCGCCACCTCCTCGATCGCTGATCGCTCTCACTTTGTGTTCGGCTCCCCTGGGGCTTGCAGTGCCCCCATGGTCCCCACCATGACGGAGCCTCTTGGCCGCAGTCCTCACCCTCCTCGCTCTCCTCGTCCTCGGGTGAGCCTCCCTGGTGCTGCTGCTGCTGTCTCTCCCGACTCTCTTCCCCTCACGCAGCCTGCGTCCTCGGCGGACGCGCCCACGCTGCAGCCTGGGCGCGGCAATGGCCGCCAGCCGCGGCGATAGGCAGGCGGGACGAACCTCTCCTACGCTGGTCTCCTCCTCCTCCTCCTCCTCCTCCTCCTCCTCCTCCTCCCCCTCATCCTCCCCCACCTCCTCCCCCTCCCTCTCATCCCCCCTCCGTGATGCTCACGCGGTCCCAGTCACCCGTCACCTTCCGCGTCCTCTTTCCCTTTCTTCATGTTTTCTCCTCCTCATTCTCCTCCTCCTCCTCCTCCTCCACCTCCTCCTCCTCCTTCTTCTCCTCCTCCTCCTCCTCCTCCTCCTCCTCCTCCTCCTCCTCCTCCTCCCTCCCCCCTCCTCCTCCTCCTCCTCCGCCGCCTCCTCCTCCTCCTCCTCCTCCTCCTCTTCCTCCTCCTCCTCCTCCTCCTCCTCCTCCTCCTCCTCCTCCTCCTCCTCCTCTTCTCAAGCCATCCAGGCGCAAGCACCAAGTCCTCTTCCCCCGAGGAGAGGCCGCGTGTTTGTGTTTCTTCGGTGCCTCCCCGTGGCGCTTGAGTGACAACCTCAGTCGAGAGTCCAGCCCAATTCTCCAGCTTTGGTTGACTAAAGCCGAGGATAGCCATGAATCGTATGTGGTCAAAGTGTCAGCACTGTGGGCGACCGGAATACAATGAGAAGTTGATCGGCCGAGGCCAAACATGTGTTTGTGGCAAGAAGGTTTCGTTACATAAGACCAATAAGAAGCTGTCTGCACCCGTGGGTGGAAGTGGACAGTCTACTCCCAAGAGTGCCCTGCGGAAATCGGTTCGGTTCGCTGATGGGCAGGACACTCACGAAGGAGGCGGAGGGTCACATCATTCGACTCCCAACACTTCCCCGCGCGGATCTGCAGGTGTTCAGAAAGATCAGCAGTCAGTGGCTTCGCATCTTCATGCGGCACTCCAGGCAGCACGTGACCCCGAATTGCTTGCCAGTCTTCAGCAGCAGCTCGATCGGCTTCAAGCTCAGAAGGGTCTAGGTGCTGCAAGTGTTGTCCAGGCCATGCAGCAGGCCGATGGTGCTTGGAGAGGTGCGAAGAACCGCCATCAGCAGGCGGTCACGTCAGTATTGCGATCGGAGAAAATTTGGCTGCCGCACGTGACAAGGAAGCTAATTTATCCAAGTTGGTGGCAGAGACAGCTCTCACTCGTGCACAGGCAGCAGCTGCGGTGGCTACGCTCGAGGGTGTTTCCGTCAGCACGGCCGTCAAGGAGGAGAAGAAGCCTTTCGAGGTCGTGTGGGATGAAGATTTGTTCAATAACTTGGACCAGCTCGAGTGCGAGCAGTCTGAGCGCGAATTGTTAGAGAAGTGCCTGGTCGAGCTGCAGGCGCAGAGGGCGTCGATCCCCACCAAGGCTGACGAGGTCACGCAGCTGGTCGAGCGTGCTAAGACCACCAAGGCCGCCATTTCAGAGAGGTTGGCCAAGCAGCGACGCAACAATGCAGGTGAAGCAGGTGGCAGTTTATCTTCAGGGAGCACCCCCGCAGCCACCGCCGATTCGAATGGTGGTGGTTCGTGCCCTACGCCACCTGCCGACGACGAGGCCAAGCTCAAGTCCGAGAGGGATGCCAAGATCGCGGCAGAGGCTGAGAAGACCTCGCAGGCACAGTTCATCGCCCAGAGGCATGCGGAGCAAGCTGCTGGGCCAGATCCTGATCACGAGCTGTGACTAGGGACTTCAAAGTCCCCACAAGTGGCCTACGAGCCACGTCACCGTCCTCAGTTGCCAGATTTCTCCACCGTGCTGTCCGGGAATGTTACGTCCATGGGCGACAAGGTGTGGGACTTCGTGGTGGCCAACTTCGGGGCGGGCAAAGTAGACGTTTGCGCTTTTGCCGAGACGCATGTTTCACGTTCTAATGCGGCCACCTGGCTTAAAAAGGCCCGTCGAGCCAACCTCAGATTGCATGTGGACCCAGCTCGCAAGACTGGCCGTGCGGTCACGGTGCTCGGTCAAGATCGCGACACGGAGGGGGGGGGGAGTGGATTTTGACGCCTGGCCACAGGCAAGCGCACTCCCTCGTTCGCCAGCTCGATCGTGTTCAGGAGTTCCAGTGCGATGGCCAGGTTGCAATGGATGGTTTTGCGGCTGAACATATACATATGTCTGGGTAATCGTATGTTTTAGTTTCATGTTATGCTTTCACTTCTGTCGGCGTTGCCAGCACGAACCTTGCTAAGTTCAGTACGCTGGGAGCCTTTTTGGCCGCGCTGAAACTTCCATGGGTCATTGTGGGAGATTTCGAGATGTCCGCGGCTGTTCTCGGCAAAGCTGGATTCTTCACTCGCGTAGACGGTCATCCTGTGCACCCTAGTACAGAATACAGGTGTGGCGCGGGTAGGTCTGGTTCTAATATCGACTTTGCCGCCACCAGCGCGGCCGCAGCCCCTTGTCGTCATTCGATTTTGCCTGCTTTTAAGGTCCAGTGGAAAACTCACGGTGGTCTCAAGATTTTGATAGGATCGACAGGTAAGCAGTTAATCCAGAGGGCCCTTTTGCTCCCGACGAAGCTACCTCAAGTTGCCAGGCCCACCGCGAGGCCCACCGAGGGCTCCAAGTCTCAGGCAGCGAAGGCACAGCGAAAGCTTAAGGCCGAAGCGTTTGCTGATCGTGGGTCGCCGTATTATTCTAATATCTTTGGTGACGCGCGGTCGCGCGAGGACGACGAACGCAAACGTGCCCGAGAGGTCACCGCACACACCGATCCTGCTGATTTGTCCGATGTGCCATCCGAGGAGGACCCTTGGGCGCGCGAGCAGAATTTCGTAGGTGTTCACACGTCAGATTCGCATGGGCGGCAGGATGCGTCTGACTCTGAGATTGACGACCCCGCGCGCCTTTCTGACGGCCGTGTTCAGGGCCGATCGGGCCAGCACGGCATTCCCATCATGGGAGGACGATTTCACTTGCCCCACTATGCTCAGTCTCTCGCGTGGGGCATTGCTGGTGATGGTCACATATCGTCGTCCCTGAGCCATGCAGTCGACCCCCCTGCTGTTTGTGTCGGGCCGCCCCCCCCCCCCCCCCCCCCCCCAGGTACAGTCGAGCAGGCTAATGTTCTTCCCTTTCACATACCTGATGTGACTTGGGTGAATGCCCGTGCTCAGGTTGGTCTACTGCCTTCGCCGTCGCCTGCTCCTGCTTTTGCTGCCTCCGTAGCTGCCAGGCTCGGGTCCCCATCCGTAGCTCAGGCTTCTGCGTTATATGGCTCTTGGGTGAAGGCAGCCAAGTTGGCGATATGCGATCATCATGGCATAGCACCACTACCTGGCATTTCGAGGGCACAGGGCCACACATTCGTTGTTCAACGTGCGTGTCCCGAACCAGTCTCGGGCAACACCGTTTAGCAATGTTATCGCTACCTGGTGGGAGCAGCTGTCGGCTATATTGGAACGTATTCATGGGGCACAGATCCAAAGGTAATGGGGTTGCTCAGAGAGAGCAACTACGAGTGGCGCTTCGGCATCTTATGGGTGAGGCCCCCCGACAGGGCCCGTGCGGGGATTCGGTCTGGGGCGGGGCCGTCTTGGGCAGCGTGGTCTGTGCTCATGCAAAGAGGGGCTTCAGTTTCAGCCAATATTCTCCAGAAGTTTGTCAAGGCAGCACAGCGCGTTGCAGCGCGATGCCGACGTAGGGCATCACGCGCCTCTCCCGACGAGCTTAAAGACTGGGTTAGCTGAGGGTTCACTGCATCGAGCGATTCGAGCTGACCCCCAGGTCGCCGATGAAATGGTGACTGAGACCGCCGTGTTTTGCAACCCTATCGACATGGTGGACCAGAAGGCCAAACCATTTATCAAGTTGTGGACCCCCAGCCCAGTGGACACCGATGCAGTATGCCACGCGTTTCAAGAAGTTCGTGCGGCTGCGTCTTTAGAGCCGCTAGAACCATTGGATATTGCAGATATACGTAGAGCAGCACATTCATTCAAGCCTCGCGCAGGCTTAGGAGCGGATGTCCTCACTCCACTGGATTATGAGAGGTTGCCCGGCTTGGCAGTTGACGAGCTTCGCGTTTTGTTTTCGGTTGTGGAAGAAACTCTGGTCTGGCCCGCCCAAGTGTCTCTGGTTCTTGGGAGGCTTTTGCCCAAAAAGTCCAAAGGGGATAGAGCGATCGGAGTTCTTACCATGTTTACCCGCGTTTGGTCTAAAGCCAGGGAGCCTGTCGTTCAAGCGTGGAGTTTGGCCAATGAGCCAAGCTGGGACGCAGCTGTCAAAGGCAATAAAGCCTTGCAGGAAGCATTCCATCGTGTTTTGGAGGATGAGGTAACTGGCGCGCTGGCGGTTCCCTCAGGTAAAGGTCTTTTAGATGTAGAGAGCTTTTTCGATTCGATGGAATGGGTGGCGCTTAGTCGGACCGCCTTGAGGCTAGGATTTCCTGCTACTATTCTTTATTTAGAGTTGCTTTTATGTGTCTCGCTTCGCAGTTTGGGGCAGAGTGGTTCATATGCAGAAGCGTTTTGCCCGTCACGGCCCATTCTCCAAGGACTCCGTTCTGGGGCCAGATTTGCCAGGTGTTTGGTGTTTGTTGTTATTCATCGCATTGCGACTGCACGCGAACACATGTCCACCAGGATCTGGCTCGACGATCTGTCTCAAAGAGTTGTTGGGTCCATGGCGAGCATTCGCACGCAGTTGTTTAAAGGTCTGTTGGCCACTTGTCTCGGCCTGCACAACGTCCAGCTTCGTGTATCGCCAAAGTCGGTGATCATCTGTTCGCATATTCCTGATGCCAAGTTCATTGCCAGTCGACTGCCGCAAGCAGGATTAACAGTTTCGGCAGTGGCGCAGGCAGGCTACTTGGGAACGGATTTGTGGGGAGGCAGGAGGTATGCCCGAGGCAATCGAACTAAGCGCGTGGTCAAAGGCGTGGCAGTGCATTCCAGAGTACTTCGTTTGCCCGTGCTGCACGCAAGTATGCTGTTACGGCCAAGCTTGAGAGAGCAGGCACTCTTGCAGCGCAGCTCTATGCGCACCAGATTCATGGTGTATTTGGATCAGCTATGATCCGTTGCCGTCGTCAAATGGGGGCTGTTTGTGGACATGGGAAAACGGGGCGTTGCCTCACGACCCTCCTGGATTTAAGGGCTCCCATGGGTGACCCAGCTGTGTATTTCCCTCGGCTGTGTGTTGAATTTTGGATGAGGCAATGGATCATGCAACCTTCCCTCCGTCCAGGAGTACGCAGGGCCTGGCCCGTTTTGTTGCGCAAGCTTCAGCAGGCCGCTCCTCAGCATCGGCCACGCCATGTTAGGGGGCCCAAGGGGGCCATCATGCTGTACTTGCTGGGAGCTGGATGGGAACCCCTGGAGCCCGATCATTGGAAAGCCCCTTCTGACTTTCCTGGAGATTTGGAGGCTTGGAGGTTTCCCGAAGAAGGGCTCTCGGGTAATATTATTTTAGATTCTCCAGAGCCTGTTATCCGTGACGTTATATCATCTATTCAGTCTAAGTTGTGGCATCGCGCGGCTGAGCACTGGTGTGGCGATGGCGTTCAGAATGGCGTGGACGACGCGTCTTATCGCAGGCTCACTTCCCAGCTTAAGCTGGTTTTGCAAGGCGAGCGCTTGAGTGAACTTATGGTGTCGATTGCCGTTGGGGGTAATTGGCCCAGGGCCCGAGTTAATTCCGAGCTTGACACCGGCTTTGACGACCTCTGTCCGCGGTGCCAGAAGTATCCTGAAACGGCGTTTCATCGCGCCTGGGGTTGCGAAGATAATGTTGGCGCTGCGGCATATGAGCAATCACAGGATCTTGTTGCAGAAGCGTTCGCCCAGGCAGAGGCTTCACCTTCTTTCTGGCTAAGTGGCCTTATTCCAGCATCCGCCACTGCACTTCCTCCTCCTCCCGACACCGAGTTCTGGTGGACATCTGGATGCAATGATTTGAGTGCTGGTTCCATGGGCCGTGGGGGGCCTGGGGACCCGCTCCTGGTCTTCGGCGACGCTTCTGGTGGGAAAATTTCGGGTGAAAGCAGGTTTCGCCGCGTCGGTGTTGCAACTGTCACGTTCGATTGTGTTTTCCCACTCTCTATTCGGTCGTCTGCTTTTGGACGGCTACCAGGCTGCCGCCAATCAGTGCCCCGTGGTGAATTGCTGGCGTTCGAGTTAGCTTTGCGCACGACAGTCGGCCATATCTGTTATGCGACCGACAACGAGTCGGTGATTCGAGGATTCTATGGCTGAAAATGCGAGGTGCCGAGTGGTGCCGACGCCGATTTGTGGCTGAGAGTTGCAAAGCTTTTGGCACAGAGGGTTGGAGAGATTGCCATGATTTTCACCAATTCTCATTTGTCGAGTTCTGATGTTGTTGATCGCTCCATTCCCTCAGCTCTTGTTGCAGGTAATGTTGTTGCGGACGTGCTCGCGGGAGAGGCCGCCGCCCGCGCCCAGATCCCAGAGGCAGCAAGGCATCAGGTTATGATCGTGGAGAAGAGAGACTGGCAGGTGCGGCACCGCCTGTTACGTGCGTCCCTGGGCGCCATGCAGGCCGAGGAGCGGGGTGGCGGAGGCAGGAGAACGGGGCCCTCTCGCCCCCCCCCCTCGCCCTCCCGCCCCTGCCTTTATGGCTGCTTTCTCTTCTTATCACCAGCTCGATGAGTCCAGGAAAAGGTGTCTTTGTTGTTTCGGTTCAGCCACCTGGGCCACTATGAAGGAGTGGCATGAGTC